ATCATATTACTTGTACTTGTATTACGTTTCATGTTATAAATAATATAATAATTCTGGCGGATAAAAATTTTCATAAATACAATAAATTAAACAGTGTGGGGCTGCCATAAATACCGCGTACGAATCAAATAATAGAAATGGTTAATTAAGACAGCTTTGCGTTGTTTAAAATTGATTGTTGATATTTTTAAGGGTTGATATTTTTAAATGTATCTGTACTTATCCGCAACAAAAATTTAAAAATAGCGATGATAATACTATTTTTATTTAGATTAAAATAGAGCGAACTAGTCTTTCAAATTTCAACACAAAATTATTAAACAACGATCGAAATCAAAGTAGATCAACTTACAGACGTTTCCAATATTCTTTTGTCGGAGTGCGATTTATGGTTTCAACAAGACTGCTGCAGCAATGACTATAAGAATCACACAAAATCGGAACAACTGATCTCATAATGTAAGAGAAAACGAGATTTATTGTACAAATTACTTGTGCTACGCTCTCGCGAATCTCGTAGATTCTAATCAACTTCACTCTTTACTTAATAGATTATAACACAAATTTAGTTCCAATATTGATAAAAAGATCGCGTCACCCAAGCTGAAGCGTGACTCCTCCACACAAATGCTCGCGTATCGAGTGCATACGATTCTTAAAAAATGCACTGTTTCCCCGATTACTTCATTGAAAATACAACGAATCTAATTAAAGCAAGTTTCGTCATCAAGAAAGATCCAGGAACCCAGCGAGACTGTTCGCAGCACCTTTTCGTACCGGTCACCCGAATGCAAATCTCTCTCAACAGATCGCCACCCGATACGAAATCGTCGGCGCAGCCGCGAGGATCGTCTAAATCCCAAGAACAATTAAGCGGTTTACAAGGAAATTTCGCGTGTTATCGTCTCGATAAATCAGGGACGATCGCCGCGTCCTGGAAGAGGACGCCTAGCTTAGTTGGCTGGCATAGGCGGCCGCGGGTGATGTCTCTAGCAGCGACTCCGAACTTTCCCAGCCTGAGAAATTGATGTCCAAGCGAGAATTAATAGTCCAACACAACAGTCATAATTCAAAACACCTGAAGTGTCAACCTGAATTAATAGTGGCGCGCAGCTGCGACAGAACCGAAGGTTCCTTGTTGCAAGGCTGCTCCGCGAGCCGACTCCACAAATCTGTCTCGCCCTCTCTCTCTCTCTCTCTCTCTCTCTCTCTCTCTCTCTCATTTTCTCAGATTCTCTCTCTCTCTCTCTGTCTCTCTCCCTCTCTCTGTCCTGGCACTCTCGGAGATTAATCGGTTCGACAAAAGCGGGCGTGGATCGTGAAAAAAGTGGACGGCGGGAGAGGAGCCGGGGTGAGGATCGGGCAGGGGGGGAACAACGTCCGACGACGTTTGCACGCACGTTCTTCGTCAAATTAGAAGCCGTTCGTTCCCCGGCCGATAATTGCGCGGGATGGGCTAGGTAAGGATCGACGAAGCAGTCGGCCCGCAGGAATCTCTCGCCGCGAACCTCTGCGTGACTGTAGATCGAGTTTTGATACGATACAGCGGTTGACCGTGACCCGCGTCACACTTCCACCGGCGCGCTTCTTCCAAGAGTCTTTGGTCGTCGCA